CGGTGCATTTTTTTTTTTCCCCTCGCTTTCCGAAGAGAAACGTCGACGGCAGCAGGGGCGAAGAACCGGCACTCGGCTGTGAGCCGGCAACACGATTAGACGCTATGGCTCCGTAGGGCCGCCGTGCGTACCGCGCGTCGACTTTTCGTCCCGTTTTCCCGACCAAAACTATACTGGACGCGTTTCGTCCCCGGTTGTTTTTTTTTTTTTTTCCCCAAGTCTGCCCCGCATTATTCCCGTTTCCCCTCCACCTCCCTCGTGCCATTATTCGGTAACACCCGCGTGACAACGGTCGTTCGTGGCTTATCGCCTTGACCAATCCAGCGGGCGTATTGCGTTACACACAAGTTATATGACCGCATTTCAACGACGATTCCGGTAATGAGGAGTTTTACAATATTTTATTGAAAAAAAAGTGTCCCGTAATTTGTATTTTGTTTCACGGTCACCCTATTGACGCCAACCGGCTGGATGGAAATCTCTTCGAAAATTTCGCACGCATTGTACAGCGAAGCGTAATTCGTTCATTCCGTTAGCAAAGATACAGAAAAGATTCACAGCCGTCGTGTACGATTTAATAGCGTTTCTTTAAATCACTTTGGAAATGTACGGAACGCGCTTCCTGCAGTAGGCGCTAATCATTTTTGTTTGTTTTGTATTCGGTTAACGTACACTAAAACTTTTCGGCGTTTATTCCCTCGACCAAAAACAATAAAAATATGATTTTTTTTTACTGGTACGCGCTACTTTTGTATTATTACGGTCGATTGTTTTTAATTGCGTAGATGCCAGATGCCAACAATTGGATTCGATCCTTGGCATCTGGAGTGTACGGCAATTTCGTCCCGATCGTTACGCTCGCTGCGGTATTTATACAGTACTCTCTTGACGTTTCCAAATCGGTATTATTATTCCCGCCCGGGAGTTTAAACGCCCTCAACGCGCTTTAACATTTTAATAACAATATGTCCGTAGAAAGTATTCAAAATATTTTAATATCGCCGTATACGCAGTGTATCGGAACTCGCAATAATTCGAGCGTTTGAAACGAACCGAATCATCGCGTATGATCGCGAACCATCGCTCAGATCCGCAGAGGATATTTGCGTCATGTTTAAAAGTACGAAACCGAATATACGCGTCGTACAATCAAACGGAAAAAGAAATATTTCATTGATATAAACGCTTAATTTTGTATTAAACGAACCGTTAAGTGAACCGTTTATGTACGGTTTTTCGCCCATATATTACTGTGTACCGTTATACCTTTTTAGGTACGCATAAATACAAATTAGATACGTATAAGTTGTCTTCGAATATTTTAAATTGAATTACAATAAAATTGAAAATAATAAGAGCATTATTTTTGTAAGTTCTCTAGTAATTTCTACATTTTAGATTCTGAGAGTAGAGAAGAATGTATTGGATTTACAAAAATGTTTATTATTGTTATTATTTTTTTTTTTTTTTATATACTGTGTACACAAATTCTACCCAGAAAGCTTGCTCTAAAGTATCAAGTAAAGCACTTTTTCTAAAAGGAAATTTTCCAGGGACGGTACTTTAATAAGGTCATTTTTGGATTATCCCGAGAGTTTTCCGAATGTGTGGGAAAATAGATACAATGTCAAACAAATATTATTAAAGAAAATATATGATTCATATTTACATAGGTATATTGTAATTATTATACCATAATGTGACATATATGTTGTTAACAAAGCAACACTATTAAGCGAACTCCGCTCAGAAACGTTTTTTCATTAGCAAAGGTTAATCGTTGCGTACATATATATTCACTGGATTCCCCCTCTACCTACCCAAATTCGCATCTACAACAGTGGCTCACCCACGTGCGAAGTACGTCCCTCTTTTTATCATTTCGGATAATTATAACGCGAAACGACAAAATAAAAGAAGTTCTCGGAATTTATCAGAATACTACGATGAAAAATACTTTGGAAAAATAATAAACGAATTCCTCACTCTTTAACTAGATAAAAAATGAAATGAAATAAGTATATAGGCGTGTTTCGATTAAAGCAATATTTCTAGTAGAAAGCATAGTTCGCAAAAATTAAAACAATGAAATCGGTAACGCCGCGGCGTTCCTTAAATATTTCCCGTTTTACCTATCATTTTTCCCAATTATTTTGAAAACCCTTTGGAAAAGATGTTACAGTTGATAACAACGGATTAAGTTTGCTTTTCGAAAAGTTCTTTACAGACGGAAAATAATAATAAAAAAACACACGCGCGCATCATTGTAAATAAATAGTAAAACCAATGGATCCTTCGCTCCGCTTCGAATCTATACAATTAATTAATAATAATAATAACCGTTAACGAAGAAGGGAAATTGTAATTTAAAAATAATACTCTTTGAGTAGACACATACCTGTATAATTTAAAAGGGTTATAAATGATTGGACGTAAGCCATTCGGCTCCCGTTTTACAAAAAGAAAAGTCCCCGAACGGTTTTTTACAACACAAATTTACGAATTTTTTCTGCGTCACGTCTTTACTTATTTTACTACGAGAAATTTACGCGTAGTACCTACCGAATACCGGAGCCATTTGGCAACTTACTTACTCGCGCGTGCAATCTTTTTCAACGGGAGCCGTTTGTGAAGAAACAAACAATAGATGGAAGCCGTTTGTGTTGCACCGAAATTATTTATTATAGATACCATTGTACACAGATAATAAGATTATTATATTGCGTAAAGCCTCCCCCCCTCCCAACGGGAGTTGTCAAAAAAAAAAATGTTCGATTAAATCCACGATTCTTATTGTAATGAATACGGTATGATCAGAAATGAAATTCTTTTTTTTTTCTGACTTTTTAATTCTTTAATCTTTAATTCTAAATTGAGTTTAAAAATCAATAAATTTAAGAGTATTCACAAACGATCGGTATTGGCGGGAATCAAATGTGTCTTATCCGATTTTTGGTTTGGTGAGTTACTGCTGTGACTGAAATTACGTCTTATCATGTATCTCAGATCAATAACAGATTATTAACACGTCTTTATCAATATGGTAACCTGATGTTTGGTAATATACATATTTGAATTCACGCCAAAACTGATCTTTTTTAACTAGGTAAATTTTAAAAAAAATCTTAAGTTCTGAAATAATGAAAAAAAAAAAAAATAATAAGCTATTTTTCAATCGGACAAAACTCTAGAATTAAGGAAAAGTGCATTTTAAAAATGTTAACAACCACCATTATCGAACCTACTGTAAGGAAAAAAATCCGTTTCCAAAATTATTGATTATAACAACAACGCAGTGCTTCCAATCGCCGCGTAAAACCGTAAACGGTTAAGTATAACTAACATGCACGCGCACTAAATTATAACTTTACGTAATAAATACAAGTATAGGTACAATTGTCGGAAATTATCCGTATGAAAACGGGACTGAACGAAGCTTATCGGCATCAACACGATAAGATAAAAGCTTGTTTATTACCATTCCGTTGTTATTGCGGTGTGTACAAAATATTAGATTATTCAATTGTTTTTTATCGTATGCACGTATACATTTTATTTCAATAACTTACGAATTTGCTATTAATGTTTTAATCTTATATATAAAATTCTCCGGTCACAATGTTTATTATTGAACTCCTCCGAAACGGCTTGGCCGGTTTTCATGAATTTTTTTTTGTGTATTTTTGGTAGATCTGAAAATCTGTGGTCGTAAGGTATTTTTCACTCTCCTACCCCGACCCACTATTTTTTAAACGTAATTTTAATATTTTCGCTTATATATATACACGAGCAATAGTAATAATATAATTATTTTTAATAATAACGAATTATTTGTACAATGAAAGTCACAGTAGAATCGCCCCCCTTAGTGCCCCTTTAACTAAAAAGTCACCTTCAAAATTAAAAAATTTCACTAGGGGACGGTACCACCCACGTTGGAAATTACTGGTGTAAAAGGTCGTTTTTTTTTTTTTATTGTTTTCTTAATAATTGGGAAAAACCTAAGAAAATCGTTACGGCCGCGGCATTTCGGTTTAAAATTTTCGATTTTGTTTTTTTATTGGATTACGAGCTAATTGTGTAGGCATTTGACATTTTCGAGGTTTTTAGTTTCTATTTGGTTTTATTTTAATAAAATTGAAATGCTCGAAAATTGAACACGAGATTCATTATAAGTTGTACTTAGTGGTTACAAACAAATTGAGTTTAATGTGTTGTTTTTTTTTATAGTTAAAATTTTAAAAACTATGGCATTTCTAAACATATTCGGTTAACGTGTTTTAAAATCGAATTTCGTTGGTGATGATATTGTATCGTTGGGCACAGATATAAATTAAATAACTTTATGTATTCTACATTCTCAAATCCCAATCTATAACAACAGTTCACTGTCTTACCTTCTCAACTTCTGACCTATCACAGCCACTCACTTATTAGCATTAACTATGAACTTATTTTTTTTTTTTTTTTTTGCAATACATAAACACATTTTTGAATTTTTTTTCTCACAGGTTTTCACAAAGTGTTTCTTCGCTCATAACTTTCAGAGTAACTTATCTGCTGCCACTAATAAATCGTTCGCTATCGGTTTTAAATTGACCAGTATAGATAAAAATGAGAATTTCTCTGAAAATTTCATTATCTATATCGGTTATGAAGACACAGTTCTAATTTTTTTTATCAATCAGACATTCGAACATCGTAGCAAACACGGAACTTCTTGCTGCAAGTATTGCTTTATGTGCTTGAAATTCTTGCCCATTAACCCACAGCGAAACGTCACTAAATTTTTGTGCTTTAAGTAAATTGCCTAGGTTTGGACAAGTTACATTCAAGAATTTTGAACTTAACTATGTTGGAGTTGCTGGATATGTTGATAGTGTCAGCTATAACACTTGCCTCGCAAAATATGGTAAGTTTATCTTCGAATAAATGGCTGTTGACTTCGTCAAATAGAACATCACGTCTGATAAATGTTTTGTAGCCCCAACAATTATTTCCTAAGACGAATTTGATGACCTTATGGTTTCTTCCCGTTTGGCGTTTAAAAATGAAAATTTGAATTTTACTCCAACCTCAGTTTTGTTGTATGAAACTTGTAAAAAATATGACAGGTAATCTTTACTTTCTTCGTCTAACTCTTTAGGACTTGTTTGCAAACACCATTTTAGTTTGCTGTTTACGGCAGACGAAAACGCGGATGATTTTAAAACGTCACACATTTTTTTACACAAACTAAAATTGTTGATCCTCCACATAAAACTCAATTTTACTGCATCTACTTGTGTGTAGCACCAATTTTCCGCAACGGATTTGTTTTCCTCTGACGGCAGATGAGGGTTCGGCATGGTGCTCCTGTTGTTAGCCAACCACGTGAAGCTTTATTTTAGTAGTAATATTAAAAAAAAATTTGACACTCACGATATAAAAGTAAAATTATGTTATTAATATGTATTGTTGTTATGTAACTCAATACCCTCGAAGTGTCTAATTATCAAATTAGTAAATTAGTAACTTATGTTGTATTTATTGATAAAAAAAAAAAAAAGGAGTCTAATATTGTTATTTTTTATATTTATAATGGTTTTAAGATAAAAATTGTATGAATATCGTAAATATTACGGACTTTCAAATCGTGTATAAATAAACTTCAAAATAATTTTTGAATAATCGTTGCTTACAGATATAAATAAAATACATTTATTTACCCAACCTTCCCAACTTCTCTCTTACAGCAGTGGTGCACCCGTCAGCAGTATCACTTCATTTTAATTGTGTTTTTAGCTCATATAAAAACTCATAGTTTTTAAAAATTTATAATAAACTAAAATTTATAACAAAATTATTACAAATATAATTTTAAAGGCATGGAAAAAAGAACTGAAATAAAAGTATAGGAAAACCGGGTAAAATGACACCAGTAAACGTTTTATTATTGTTAATTTGTACGACTTTTGTTTACTATAAGTATTAGAAATCTTATTCCAAATTCAAGAGTTGTATTTTTTATGAAAGAAAATTTTGTCTTATAACATTTTTTGATTTTTCAAGTAACAATTTTTTCAATCGATTTTATAATTGGGAAAAACCTGAAAAAAGGTATAAATAACGGGAAAGTTTTTGGTATTGCCGGTTTCGTGATTTTCGATTTTGTTTTTTTAGCTGTAATTCGGTTAAAAATATTCGAAGAGTTCTGTAGATAAAGAAGATCTACAGATCTCATGACCTAACTTGGTAACATTTTCAAAACATTTTTATTTTGGTCAAATCGACATTTTCTAGTTTTTTTTAGTATATATTTGATAGACAGGCATGGACTGGTAAAAAAAGGCATGGGATTATACATAATTTAAGAACAAATATCATCAGTTCACAGTTGACAGTTATTGAGGAAAATTATAATAATTAAATCAACGAAGTAAATTCGATAATTTTTGTAAGTCGAGAATGCAAGATATGCATAGGGTAATTGATAATTTATCTGTACGCAGCGAAAAATCAGTGCAAACTGAAGAGCGACTCTGAAACAAGTTCGATTCAGATCATGTTTCACCAGTGTAAATTGACAATTGTATATTATTCTGTAACAATACAAAGTTACATCAATTGAACTTTGTAGTTGTTAGCGTTTTTAACGAATTGAAACATAAATTAATGATGGAAATAAATTTCAAAATGTGCAGGTGTCCACATAAAAATAAAAACTTGAACATTTCAAAGACTGTCGAAATATTTTTTTATCAATGAAACCACGTCTAGAAAATGCTAATATATTAAGTAATGCAAAATATTCAATTTATTTAGTTAGTAATGGAATTACTTATCTCCTATTATATTTTCAGAGTATTATTACTTTCTTTTTAAAAATTATACAAATTTTAAGTAGATTTATTAAGGCGAAATCATTCCAATTGGTGCACATTGAATTTTAGTGCATGTGGTTCTCAACACCCTGCAATGCAGTAGACGTCTATCGATAGGTATTACATTATATAAGGAGAATACAATTATTTGACCAAATCGAAATGCTTGAAATTTTAACACGATCATTATATTATTTTGTACATTTTGGTAAAAAAAAAAAATACATGAGTGTAACGCAGTGATTTTTTTTCTCTCTATATAATCGTTTTATGATAAAATTTTAACGAAAATCGTGAAAACAACGGCATTTCAAAACATTTGTAACCAAATTTTGCTCAGAATCAATGATTTATTGATACACACAGATATAAAATAAATACCTTTTTGTATCCCATATACTCCCATATATGTTTTCCAAAAAAAAAAGTTAAAACCAAGGCACTTTGCATAGGCTCTTGTTTTACTCCCAACAGTATTTCATTAAAATATAGCTTAATACTGTAGTGGTGATAAACCCTTACCTTTTCACTGTACTTATGTGATACGTAGCACGTTATACGGTTCGTTGAAAATCGGTGTGAACAATTTTGAGGAAAAAAAAACTGTCAAACAAATATTAAATATTATAAATAATTTATATATAAATAATTCGTATAATATTATTCGCAAATTCGCGTACCGCCGTTTGTATTTTTAAGTTGGTAAAATATAATCGACTGATTCGGTAAAAAAAATAAAAAAAACGAAATTCCAAAAGAAAACCGCGACCGTTTACCGTCCGCAACATCGGTTGACTCGTTCAATACTAATTCGCGTGCTCAAGCGTTTTACGCTTTTTTTTTTTTTTATTATTATTCTTATTTCTTTACTTATATTATAATACATGTTTTATATATTCCGTTTGCAAACGTTGTGTTTTACTTTCAAGGTCATTACGTTGAAATTCCAATGTATATTATTTTAAGGAGTACTTTAAGAGTGGGTCACGATCATTTTTATGATTCGGGCCGATACAATTTGAATGGGATTAAAAACGAAAAAAATAATACGGCAATAATCAAATGCGGTCGATAACAACGACGGCGGAATGGCAAAAAAAACCGTAAACGACATTGTTCAAAAGGAGTAAGAAACAAAACCGACAATTTTTTTTTTTTTGTAAAATTTTTGAATTTCTGTTGTTAATTGCGCCTGAATAAATGAAAAAAAAAACAAATTTTGAAACAGTTTATTGTTAAAATACTATGTTACTCTGTTATATACCTCCTTGTACCTATCACTTATTATCACTCCTAATAATTTTTGTCTTTGTATTGCGTCACGTCCTCCCCCTTTCTCTTATTCTACCTTTTTCGCGTTATTGCGTTATTTAAAATATAATTCATTACAAATTAACAATTCAAATATGTATACATTTGTATACATTTATAAACCATATTAGATTTAAGTTGTCGTTTACGAGATGCATTATTTTCATCGGTCAACATTGATTGAATTTTATCCGTAATATGTGTGTTAGTGTTTTATAATTAAAACGTCAAAAGTCTGTATGTTTTGGAATTTGGAGAAAATACAATCCGACGGGGAAATTATTATTCTTTGTAAAACGTGTAAAATTATTGTAAACAGTGCAAAGTGCATTATTATTACACCGATTATAACGATTTCGGCACATTATTTTATATATTGTGATTTTTTAAATCTGGATGACTGTAAGTCCCGTCAAACACTGCAGGATTTTCCTTCTTTTGAATGCCACGTGTCCGCTGGTCCCGTTTTGGGTAGTCGGTCTATTCCCTTTCGATCATTTTTTTAATGTAAGGGTTATATCAATCGATTGGTTAATACTATTATTAAATTTTTTTTTTTTTGAGATTCGGTAAATCTATTTCTGACTATTTGTTAACTTAAGCAAAAAAAAAAAATGCAAATGCTTTAACTCGGAACATTTAATTTCATATAAACAATATATTTTTTTTCGATTTCGACTACATTTAATGGTTCTCCAATATTGTCGATTAGTCGAGAACGATCAATATTATATTATGACCGAGAGGGATAAATAACGTCATTTATTATGACGATAACACGTGTAGAAACGCCACCCTACATAAAATAAATAAAACGGTGTGTCATAACGGACGGACGGACAATCCTAAAAATGTTTACGAACAACGATTTATATTTGTCAACGTTTTTGAGATTCGGCGTAAAAAATAAAAATCAGTATCGTTGTTAAATTTGTTTTACTAGCCAGAAACGAGTAAGCATTTCGAAATAACCCTACGGCATACTGCAGAATAATAAAATCTGGACATTCTCGCTGTACGTGCTAGTAAGGCCACGCACTCATGATTATTCCACTATTAAGTGTCGGTATAAATGCAATTTCCACACGATGATATAATCATGGGCGCCCGGAAGGGTAGAGTACAAGACGGGGCATCTGTCCCCGCCCCCTGGACTTCAACATATAATTACAAATATAATTTTATTTTAAGTTCTTTTCGGTGTTTGATTTTATTATGCCGCTTTCTGATAAGTATTCTGCGGGCGCCTATGGATATAATACATGTTACTGGACGACTAAAGTATAAACGCGTATGAAAAATATAATTTACTTATATTTTCCGTATATTTTACGGGAGGAACGAATGAAAAAAATGCCTAGCTTCGCTCAGAATCTAAAGAAAAAAGATCCGATACTACTGTCGGCAGTGCCGTCCATTTTAGGTGGGAACCGAAAAAAGTAGGATATTATTATTATATATAAATTAATTTTATTTATTTATGTATACGACAAATCGTCAATACGGAAATGCGATTCTGAGTGAAGTTCGGTCAAACGTCTATTGAAATGTCGTTTACATAGGTTTTCTCGTGTTTTTTTTTTCCAATATTATTATAAAAACTAAATTTAAATATATTTTTTAAAGTCATTTTTTGATTTTCCCAGCTGTTTTCATAATACATTGGAAAACCTGGAAAATATATACAATATTAATATTAAATAAATATTGTTAAAGAACATATATGATACATATGTAATTATTTTACCACAATATGACATATATATTGTTAACAAAGCAATACTATTAACTAAACTCCGATCAGAATCGTTTTTTGTTAGAAATGGTTAATCATCACGTACAGATGTACATTAAATTTCCCCTATACCTTCCCAACTACTCACCTACAACAGTGGCTCACCAACGTGCGAAGAATGTCCGTCTTTTTATTATTTCAGATAATAATAACGCAGAACGACAAAATAAAAAAAGTTCTCAGAATTTATCAGAATACTACTATCATCATAATTTTAGATTTTCCAAAAAAATGAGCCTTTTTTAATCACGTTCTGCCAGAGGCCAGAGGGAAAAAAGAATTAGTATTATATAAAGGGCTCGTTCAAAAGATTCGAAGTTTTCCCAAACGAATATTGTCGTGGTGTCATAAATAAATAAGATTGCAATTAAAACGTACA